AAAAAAAATTAAATTTTGAATGATTTGTTGTCAAGGTCAATGAACAAACTGTTTTCCTTTGATAACCAAGTCAGCTTTCACACTATCAGGAGAATTCAAATATTCCAGTGCCTTTTCCGCCCACTCATAGCTCCATTCCTGAGAACCGATAACTACAAATGAACCAAGCTGCAAAACTAATCCACTCGATTAAACTGACCAGATTGTCGCTGTACAACATGTTGAGAGTCTCAAAGGTATCCTTCGCTTCTTCCGGTAGAAGGTCACCTGAGAACAAATAATTACCCTACTTATACCATAAAAGCGATCAGAGCCAAGAAAATAGCCGTGATATGGCTTATCTATGGTTGACATTAGTTTAAAAAACCCACGTTGGGCGGCAACATTATGTAGAATGAGAACCAAAACCAAGAAGAATACTAACATTTTGGACGACAATTTCGCTTTCCAACAATCCCTTTTATAGAACTGGTGAGGCTACCTTCGCCTGCTATTACCTCAAAATACATGTATTTTTATAGCATCTGTCCAAAAAATTCATTTGCAGAGTCAACGGATGTCTTCGTGTTTACACAGTGTACTAGCGAGATAGTAGAGAAAACATTCGGCATTCCCTTGCTGAGCTACTGTAAAAAGGATGTTTTCACTTTACATCATCCCCTATTTTGTTGATCGCATTTACAACAAGAGAGTAAGAAGAGGAAAATGTCCAACTTGAAGCTCTGAATGCAAAAAAGTAGAATGTCCGGTGCTGAAAACACTGTTTTCATAGCGCAATCTAATCACTAATATGTAGGGATGGAATAGTATTCACAATAGATAATCATCTTTAACTCCTGATCAGGCGTTGAAGCAGAGAAAATTTTTTCAATATTGGTTTTCTTCGAAGCATGTGTTACAGCTGGAGACTATAGCCTAACTAGTGATTACACCTACCATGTTCTTTGCTCACATTCGCTGAGGCTGAATTTAACTTCTGGACATGTTAATATTTAGGGTTCGGAATCCCGTGAAGGTTGAATGGCACTTTCAACACGCTAAATTTGCACTACAGGGCAATGTGGACTGTTCTATTGTATGATTTAACTAAGCAGCCTGAATTCATTTGTAGTTATTGGTTGATGAGTGGGCGGAAAGGGCACTGGGGTATTTGAAGTCGTCGAATAGTGAGAATGCTAACATAGTCACCAAAGGAAAGCAGGTC